CAGCCGAGGACATGCGTGGGGCCCCTCAGGGCCGTCCGGGGGAGGGGGGAGCTGTGGGGCCCACGGTTCCTCTTCCCTTTTCGGCTGCTGACGCAGGCTGCACGTGTGGTTGGGGACGTGCCGCGGTTGGGGACATCCGGGCACTGGGGTCAGCCCTGCTGTTGCCTGCCCTCCCCCCCTTTTCCTGCTAAATCTGCCAATTTGGGGAACAAAAAGAGCAAAAAACAAAATCTCCTTTTTTAAAATGCTGCTGGCGCTGCCAGGCTTTGCACCCTGAGGGGACATGGGGACCCCTTGCCCTGGTGCCCTTCCCCAGCTCTACATGGGTCCCCTGAGCTCTGGCCCTTGCAATGCTCCACGGTTTGTTATTAAATGATTTAATTATCCTAAATTACCTGTGTAGCCAGTCCTTGGAGTTCCCAAAGCCCCTGTCCCAAGAGCAGAGGTCCCAAGGGACGAGTCCCCTGTCCTCAAGGACAGGTCCCCATAGTAGAGGTCCCCATAATCCCATTTCTCTTAAATCCTGGTCCCCAAAGACCCCATCCCAGGAGTGGAGGTCCCCATAGCTTGTGTCTCTCAAACCTTGGTCTTCCAAGACCCCATCCCCAAAGTGGAGGTCCCCATAGATTGTGTCCCTCAAGTTGACTCCGTGTGGGGCTTCAGTCAAAGACTCTTATCCGGTGGCGCAGGAGGAGCAGCCAGCATCCCCATTCCTGTAATTTTATTAATTTACATTATTACATGATTTCTGGTTTATAGAAATATATAAAATATGAACATATCTATCTATCTATAAAACCCAAACCCTTTCCCTAAAAATATATTTTGCTATAAAAAAGCAATAAGTTAGCAATAAATAAGAGTATAAATAAGTCTCTGAGGAGAGAAGAGGCGATGCTCAGACATGGGGAGGGCTGCAGCTCCCCAGGACAGACCCATTCTGGCCCGTTTGAGCTCTTTTGGGTGGGGGGGGATCCACCTAACAAATTTTAAAAATGGCTTTAAATAAGGGAAGAAAGTGAGGAATAAGTTATTATGGAGGAGGAAGTCACAACTGAAGACCCCGACAGCAGAGATGGTGCCATCGCAGAGGCATTTTTTATCCCAGGTTTTGGGATACCAGAGCTGCCGGGGGTGGGTAGACTCCACCGTGGAGGTGGTGATGGATCTGGGTCCAAGCCATAGGCAGTGCCATCAGGCGCAGTGACAACGCGTGACCAGCATATCCTCAAAGAGGGTGGACACCAGCCTGCCCTCGCCATCGTAGTGCATCAGGAGCATGGGGTCGTAGGCGGCGGGGACGCAGCAGGGTGCGGGGGTGGCTTTGGAGAGGGCGTGCAAGCGGGCCTTGATTTGGGCATGCATGCTGGCTGGTTTGTAGTTGTGGGGACAGGAACCCTCGCAGAAACGCATGGAATAGCTGGTGGGGGCGATTACCCAGTCCGACCACCCGATGTCCTGGAAGGAGACCTTCAGTGACCGTAGGCAGCACTTCCCATCGCTCTTCCCGCACTCCTCCTCCAGCCCCTGGGCTCTCCGGGCTCTCCGGACTCTCCGGGCTCTCCGGGCTCCCCGTCCCGCGGGCTCTTGAGTTTTCACCTCCAGGACCAGGTTCTGCCCCCTCGTGGTGGCCAACAAGGCTGAGACGTTGGCCGTGAAGGCCAGCTCCAGCCGCAGCGTGGCCTCGGGGCCAGCAACCCAGGGCTTCACAGCCTCGGTGAGGTCCAGGCTAGGGGCGTTGCAGTCCAGCTCTTGGTTACGCAGGAGCTGGGGGGTCCTGTCTACCCCCTCAAATGTATAGATGCTGACCCGGAGGGGCACTGTGGCATCGAGCAGGGGGACACCGGGGGATGCCGGTAACATCTTGAGGAGCTTCAGCTCTGCTTGCACCACGCGAAGCTGGCGGTGGAAAACCTCAGAGCGGGAGAGGAGGAGTTGGTAACGGTAAGGACCGCGGGGGTCCAGCTCTTCCCGGAGGTCTTGATGGCCCTGGGAGACATCCAACACTGCAGCAATAGAAGGGACAACAGATGTTAGAGGGGATAATCCACATCAGACACACCATACCACCAGGAAGTCACCCAAATCCCAAGGCATGCTGAGCCCATGGGGATTCAGCCCTGTCCTCACCCCCCAGATCACCCAGGACGCCCAGCCCGAGGGTCTCACTGAGAGGTGGCAGCCGGTCCCATCAGGGTGACACCCCCCCACACACCTCTCAGCTGTCTCAATCTCAGCCTAAGCAGCAGGAGCTCAATATTTACCAAAAAAAACCCTAAAAATCTCCAAAGTGGGGCTCAAGCTGGGGCTGGAGGGACAGCACCTTCCCGTCTCCCCTCCGCTTTCCCCCGAGCCGCCTCCAACCCCGCTGCCAGCACCACCGCGCCGCGGATCAAAGCTTTCATCCCAAATTCCCTGGGGTTTTGTGTGTTTTTAAGCAAAACAGCCCCAGCGGCTGCTCCTCCTCACCAATAGCGGGGATGAGGATGGGAGCGGGCAACTCGGTTCATGCCCCGTCATGTCGCGGCACATCCCGCGACACCGGGGTTGACATGTCACACCAGAGCGGGGTTGACATGACAGCCCGGAGCTCATACGTGTCCGTGGGGTCACGGAAACGCCGTCACTT